GCAAATGGGATGCGTTAAGCTCATGTCGCGGAATGGAGACAGATCAATTATCAAATTAACAGGATATCCATTGTTGACTTCGACGCAACTGTAGGCGACGGCAGCATATGCCTGGGATGATGCGTCTGCAAATCCGTGCAGTTCCATTGTTTAAAGCGGTGCTGATATGTATCGAGGTACTCGACAGGTTTCCAATAAATGTATTTGCGATACGAACTGTTGCCACCGTGTACATAATTGGGGAGGCAGTACCTCATTCCACTCGACCGAACTCAGCCAGCTATCTTGAAAGAGAATCTTTAGATACACAGTTGTGGGTGCAAGCAAACCCAGCGGATCGTAGATCTTGGCTAGTTCCGAAAGCAGAATGCGTTTGGTAAGAGCGGTTGTAATTCCGGGGATTTCTAGCTTGAAGAAAATACAGTCAGCTTTTGGATCCCAACACAGTCCGAGCACTTTAACAAATCGAAATGAACTGTCCTTCTCTAAAGCTTCTAGCGGATACTCACAAATCTCCTTGGGCAACGACTCCAATAGGGCGTAACAGTTTGAGCTCCACTTTCGAAGGTTGAATTGAGCTTTGCTTAGAAGAGAAATTAACTCATCTTTGAGAGCAATAAGATCCTAAACTTGGTCGCATCCAGTGGAAATATCATCAACGTACGCGTCTCTGTTAAGAACGACAGCAGCGTTTGGATACACCTTGGCATAATCGTTCGCGAGCTGCTTAAGAACTCGAACGGCGAGGAATGGCGATGAAGCTAAACCATAGGTTACGGTCAGCAGTCGATAATGATCCAGCGTTGCGTTCTCCTTCTTTCTCCAAACTATGCGTTGATACTGCGTGTGTTCTTCTGACACCAAAATGCCTCTAAACATCTTTTCAATGTCAGCGCAAAATACATAAAGATGCTGACGGAAGCGAAGGCATATTCCAATTAAATCCCTTTTAATAGGTGGGCCTATGTGAAGTCGTGAGTTAAGCGAATGACCCTTGGAGTCCTTTCCTGAGCCATCAAATACAACTCGGCAACGGGTAGTGGTGCTATCCGGCTTAAACACTGCGTGGTGTGCCAAATAGTTACAGCGTCCTGGCTCCTCAGACGCTTCAGCAGCAGGTATCAGTTCCATGTGTTCTCTTCTAAAATAGTCCTCCATGAACTTTACATACTCTTGTTTGAGTGCGGGGAACTTTAGAAATTTCCGTTCAAGGGCGCCAAAGCGGTTTAGAGCTTGTGGCCACGTAGAGCCAAGTGGTATGATGGGTTCCTTGAATGGGTACTGCACAATGTACACACCATCTTCTCGGCGAGCATGAGTTGTCAGAAAATGTTTCTCTGCAGGATCACTGGCGTCAATCGTCGCTTTGGTCGGGTGCACCTGTTCAATGTCCATGAAAGAGCGAACTAGGGAATCCAAATCTTCGTAAGCGTGGTGAACTTCTGCTTTCGTAAATGGTTCGCCACAATCATTATAGCTGCCTGTAATAACCCAACCAAAATTAACATGTAGCGCAATGGGGTATTCAATACCAAACTCTCGGCGATGTCCAGTATAGATGTTCCACACTTTATCAGCGCCTAGAATAATGTCGATTTTTCCCGGTGATCCAAACGTCGGGTCAGCTAACGGTAAGCTGCGAATCTTGGTCCAGACAGAAGCGGTGGATTTGACCTGCTGAGCGGGAATCAAAGAAGTCAGAGAACTCATAATTAGGCCAGATACCTCCAATGAGGCAGTCGTAGTCCTTGAAAGCAAAGTGAAGCTAGCGCGACCTCGGCTAACTCCAGCCGGGTTAGCACCTAATCCAACAACTGAGATGCGAGCATGCGTGCGTGGAATTCCAATCCGTTGGATAAAAGACTCAGCTACCATGGTTATTGTTTATCCAGTATCGAGCAATATTCTACATGAGGTCTTGTTGCCACATGTGTCAATTACATTGGCTGGAATAGTTGGCAGTAGGGCTTGATTATTGGCTGATGGCTGACAGCAGCAGTATTCATACCAGCATCAGGATCAATCGAAGGAAATATATTAACCTCAGCCGCAGACATATGGGCGGAGGAAAACGGAATCGATCTACCGGGTGGACTAGCGTGTGATGCTTAGCCTTGCACTGACGGCAAGTGTTCGAAGAATTACAGTTCTTGACTTGATGAGATCGACTTAGGCAATTAAAACAAAGCTTAGTATCCCTGGCAAAGGTACGGCGATTTACGACATCCAGGGCTTTGAATGCAGTACATGCGTATATATTGTGCTGTCCGTGACAATATATACAGTCGCGAGAAGACTGATTTGATCCACTTGCATGATAAGCGGCGTGGCGGCTTCTACTCTGGGCTGGTCTTGGGGGTTGTATTACGTGTATATTTTGACAAGACTCCAAAGTATCACAATGTGCAAAAAGAAAAGCGAATAGATCATGTATGGTGACGTCTTCCTTGGACGACACACTGCAGTTTGCCCAAGCTTGTTTGATTTCGGGTCCTAGTTTGGATAGCAAAATATAAATTAGCCACACATCGCGGCTGTCACAGTTCAGCGCGTGTAGGCCTCGAATACATTCGTCGGCAGAGTCAATTACCTTACGTAACTCTGCGATATTCAAATTGTAAGCGGTTGGCAACGATAGAAAATTTTGAACAAATGTTCGAGCGATTAGCGTTTTCTTGTTATAACGATTTTCCAATTTTTCCCACGCATCTTGGTAGTTATCATTAGTAACGGCAATATGTTTAATTAAGGAAAGTGCTTCCCCATCTAAATAAGATATCAGATAATGAAACTTTTGGCACTTGGAAAGCTTTTCGTTATTATTCACTGAGCTTAAGAACAAATCACTAAATTGGCTCCAATCTTCGTATTTGCCAGAAAATGTGAGAATTCGAATTTTCTCAAACCTTAAATCAGCTGCTCCCGATGAGGTATTCATTCGTTCCAGAAGTTGGTTTTGTCTCTTAAATAGACGTTCCTCTGTACTTGATAGCAAAATGTTCGACTGGTCTTGTCCATGATCTTGACCACCCATCTCGTTTATGGCTTTAATAAATATGGCGCGCTGTAAAACTTGTCCTCGTACTCAGGTATATCCAATCCAGGGTCTTCATATCATATCATCTACTAAATCATCGGAGAGGTCCTTAAATTGGTTGAAGGTGGGTTCAAGACGATCCAGCTCCAGTTGCAATGTTTCCACATTATCACATTCCTGCGAAAACTCCAAAGCACTTTTAAGGGTTCGAGTTATTTGCCCCTTGCAGGCACGACGTTGTTGAATTGTCCGATGCATTACAGGGTTCATGACGGCGGCTAGTTTGTCTTTTATTATTCACAAATAAACTCGAATTCAAACGCAGAAGATCCGGCTCGAAGGACCAAAAAGTTGTTATGTTGGCGAATTAAGTGGACTGTATTTCTTTTTTCTAGGATTCGAGTTTATTTTTTAATTATAAGCGGGTTTACAAAATGTTAAGCGGGGCAGGTTGCGAGCGAGTACAAAACTATATATATTAAGCGGGGCAGGTTGCAAGCGGTTGCGAGCGAGTACAAAACTATATATTAAGCGGGGCAGATTGCAAGCGGTTGCGAGCGAGTAAAAAATTATATATTAAGCGGGGCAAGTTGCAAGCGGTTGCGAGCGAGTCAAAAACTATACAATAACCGGGGCAGGTTGCAAGCTGTTGCGAGCGAGTCTAAAACTATATGATAACTGCCGAAAAAAGTGCAGAAAAGATAATGCAGAAAAACGCGTAATAGTGCAATACTAATGCAAATTTACTGCAATTTCGTCTATGCGTGTGAGCTTCAAGCTTGGAGACGAAAAACAAAACAATGATGTTCATTTATCTAGCTACGATTTGACAATAATACAATAATGAGCATTTAACTAGGTGCGATTTGACAATAATACAATAATGCTAAATGACCGAACTATTCTTCAACATACCGGCCCCCCTGAACGACGGTTCAGTTCAAAGGAAGCACAGCAATTTTCGTAATGGGGCGCTTGTAGATTCCTCTAGCAGTTTTAACGGTGACCACACGGATCCTCTGATCCTGGCCAGGATGAAGTTGTACGACTCGTCCCAACAGCCACTTGCTTGGCGGTTGATTTGACTCCATCAGCACAACCAGGGTGTCAATGGAAACGTTCTGAGCATCTTGTTGCTATTTCGTGCGAACTTGAAGCGTACTGAGATACTCTAGGCTCCAGCGTTTCCAGAATCCTTGAACCTTCGCCTGCAATTGTCTCCAGCGCTTTAGTCTATTGATGTTTACATCTAGAAACGATGGCTCTGGTAACGAAGTGAGAGGCTGACCTGTTAGAAAATGAGAAATGATCGCTGGGTGCGCACAAATCTGAATTAACAATGTCGAATATTCCTCGAATGTTAATGCACTGCTGCCTATAACTCGTTTTAGATGCAGCTTTATAGATCGCACCCCAGTCTCCCAAATACCTCCAAAATGGGGGGCTGAGGGCGGAATGAAATGCCAATTGACTTCGTGACTCGACAAGAAGCTCGAAATCTCTTCGTTATGAGCTTGGGCAATTGCGATCCGTTGCATTTCAGCTAAGTCTCGTTTGGCTCCATGAAAAGTTGTGCCGTTGTCCGAATATAGGTCCGATATGGGCCCTCGTCGAGACCAAGAGCGTTTGAAAGCGGCTATAAAGGCGGATGTTGTCAAATCGCTGACCAATTCAATGTGTATCGCTTTTGTTGAGAGACAAACGAAGATAGCAAACAAAGCTTTGCCAAATCTTGGTGTCCGACCTGTAGAGGCTTTGATCGTCACAGGTCCAGCATAATCCAATCCTGTGTGAAGAAAGCAGCGGGCGGGTTGAACTCGAAACGCGGGGAAGGTCACAAAAAAAAAAAAAAAAAAAAAATGATAAAAAAAAAAAAAAAAAAAAAAAAAAAAAAAAAAATTTAGATAAGAATAAAAAAAAAAAAAAAAAAAAAAAAAAAAATTAAAATATGAAAAGTGTATTCGACACCAGTATGTAGCGATATAGCATGTTGATGTTGAACTAATAAAGCAGCGATTGGGGATTCCTTAGGCAGGATTATGGGATGTTTTGCGTCATAATTAGCCATAGAACTATCGATGCGGCCACCAACACGTATTACACTCTGCTCGTCTAAGAAAGGGGTGTAACGGAGCAGCTTCGAGTTCTTTTTTAGTGGCTGTCCGGTGCTTAACTGCTTGTATTCCACTTTGAAGGATTCCTTTTGAACATGGGTGAATTCCTAGACCGGGCATATTTTAGCTCCCACGCCGACAGGAACGGCCAAAGTTGATTCCTCCCACGAAGACGATGAACGAAACGAAAGCAGTAGCTGAATATCCTCAACAAACGAGACCATCAGGATGTTTTGTTAATCATACAAGTTAGTAAATTTCCGTCGTCGGAAATGTGTAGATTAACCTTAGGATTGGTCTTTACCTCCAGGTATGCCAAGTTAGTAAATTTCCGTCGTCGGAAATGTGTAGATTAACCTTAGGATTGGTCTTTACCTCCAGGTATGCCTCTTCTTCTGTCGACAGAACAAACTTAGCCTTCACGGGTGGCCAAGTTGAGCGTGACTGAGATAGCCAAGCTGGTCCTTTCCACCAGATTGGATGATCTAAGAGGTCCTTTGGAAGTATTCCTCGGGATGCGCAGTGTGCAGGGTTATCGCCACTTCGAATATGATGGCAGCAGCTACGTGGGCACGTCTCTAAGATTTCTGCAGTGCGAATGCAAACATAAGAGTTCCAGGTCCGGGGAGGAGATGATAGACAATGCAGTACTATTTCAGAGTCTGACCAACAATTGATTCTGGAAATAGGAACAGTTAATGATTGCTTGACCAGGGAAATCAACTTAGAGAGCAAATGGGCTGCGTTTAGCTCCAGCCGCGGAATGAAGACAGGCTTAATAGGCGCCACGCGAGTTTTTGTCATTATCAAACTAACGGCATATCCATTGTTGACTTCGACGCGACTGTAGACGACGGCAGCATATGCCTGGGATGATGCGTCTGCAAATCCGTGCAGTTCCATTGTTTAAAGCGGTGCTGATATGTATCGAGGTACTCGACAGGTTTCCAATAAATGTATTTGCGATACGAACTGTTGCCACCGTGTACATAATTGGGGAGGCAGTACCTCATTCCACTCGACCGAACTCAGCCAGCTATCTTGAAAGAGAATCTTTAGATACACAGTTGTGGGTGCAAGCAAACCCAGCGGATCGTAGATCTTGGCTAGTTCCGAAAGCAGAATGCGTTTGGTAAGAGCGGTTGTAATCCCGGGGATTTCTAGCTTGAAGAAAATACAGTCAGTTTTTAGGTCCTAACACAATCCAGCCCAGTCTTTGAGCTTTGCTTAGAATAGAAATTGCCTCATCTTTAAGGGCAGTAAGATCCTAAATTTGGTCGCATCCACTGGGAATATCATCAACGTACGCGTCTCTGTTAAGATCGACAGCAACGCTCGAATACACTTTGCCATAATCGTTCGCGAGATGCTTAAGAACTCGAACGGCGAGGAATGGTGATGAAGCTAAACCAAATGTTACGGTCAGTCAAAAACTGTACAAAAGATTTTAATTTGCTTTTCTCTAATCGTAATTGCGTTTTCTTTTTAAAAGGTTATGAACAAAAACCTTTATTTACTTATTTATGAATATTTTTCAAACTAATCTTAATTGTTCATCGAGGTTGATTCTATGAAGTTTCGTAAGATAGGTTCAATTTTATTTAGTTAATTGTGTAAGGTAGCCCTCACGCGGCCCCGCCTCAGGTACACATATGTTTAGTTAAGAGTAGTCAGTAAACTAGGATTTAGGTTAGATTGAGGATTAATTAAAGACCCACGGAGGGCACTTAGATTTAGGTACATCATTCAGATTTACGTTAGTTAGGACATAAGTTACATACATGGCTAAAGCATAGATCTCATCACAAACACCGCTTCGAACACATCAACAACCGCGCCAAACTATTATCGGCAGAGCCATCAAACCGGCAGGGCCAACATCGCCTCGGACACATCAACGTCACACAGCGTCAAACTATTATCGGCAGAGCTATCATAACGGCAGAGCCAACACCGCCTCGAACACATCTCACCGCGCAACCGCAACACAGAAAAGCTGTAGCTTCTCTCTACACGACGACGGCTCACACGAGAACATCGGAAAGGCCGCTGCCGCGATCGGCAACCGAAAAGGGCCTCGAGGAACTCCAACTGCTCGCCGATCGAGGTCGGTTTGGAAAACTTAACAAGAACAGTCGTGATCACGGAAGAAACAAGGACCAACTAAACGACCCCCGGTAAGCCACGTGGTCAGCGGACATGGAGTAGTACGGGTAAACCGGCCAAGGGCCAACTCCAAAACGTGGGTGGCCAGCGGTGCGGAGGTGTAGGGAACATCGTAGGGATAGGCTTAGAACATAAGCAAGGCATGTGAATAAAACCACTGTATTAATACACAAATGCTCAATTCCGGAATAAGTCACCGCAATTCCGGTCGGCAAGCGGTCTCCGGATAACAGAACCGCATTCCTCTCTTTCTGTCATCCTTTCCCCCTTCCCTCGCAGTTCGGAGCACCGGCACCCGGCTGACGGGGCCGGACAACCGATTCCCGGGTGACGGGATCGGTCACCTACGAAGCCCCGACTCCTCCCCTCCCCCTCCCACCATCTCGCATCCTTTTCCTGCCTGTCTCAGTACTTTACAAATATTTCTGTAGGGGACCCTGGGCTGACTAAAGCTTATATCCCGGCCCGTGGATAGCATCCTTCAGATGGCGCCCGAACAAGGACCAGGCAGGAATATGCAAAGATAATTCCACCCTTCGTGGCGTAAAGAAACATAAAAAAAATTTGAGGTTACGGACGAAAGTTATGGGAGCACGCACGTTTTTTTGTAATCGCGAGGGAACAGAACAAGGGGGAGACAGAGAGAGCTGCAGAACCTAAGCCACGTCGACGCCGCAGCCGGCATCCACGATACCTTCAGATACCTAGTTCCGAATAGGATCCCCGATGCCGGCAGAACCAGGGATATATAAGTCGCCACCGACACACAATCGGGATCAGTCAATCAGTCCCGAGGGAGCAGTCAATTAACGAAGTCACGAGGGATCAGTCAATCAACGGAGTCGCGAGGGATCAGTAAATCAACGGAGTCAAGAGGGATAAATCAGTAACCAGAGTCCCAAGGGGCTCCCACGAAAAGGGACCGAGCAGCAGCCACACGCTGACCATACCACGCAGTATTTCCCCGTCCCCAGGGACGGAAGGCACAGCGCGGGCCAGTGGGTCCCAGTTCGATGCAGGGATCTGCTCTATGTTGGTTGACAAAGTGACCAAATGGGGACTGTCCTTCGATGGCACCTCAGGCCCGCTCAGCTTCGTGTAACACATCGAAGAACGGGAGCATACCTACCGGGTTGACTGGGAGTATCTGTCCCACGTTATCATCGTCCTCCTGACTGGCCGAGAGGAGAGTTTGTTCCGAACTAGTGATGTGCTGGGACGGACCTGGGCCGAAGTTCGTCGGGAATTCTTGGACTTCCTCCTACCGCCCCGGTATTATCAACGCCTCGACGACGAGATCCGCTCACACTTCCAAAAGGTGAATGAGCCGTTCAAGGAGTACCTAGTAGATCTTCGCCTTCAGATGCGCCGCGCTGGATTCTCACCAGAGCAGAAATTGGAACGGGTCTACGAGAACATGCTGCCCCAATATCAGATGTTCACCCGCCACCAGGATTTGAAGACGCTGGCAGAACTCACGCACCTGGTGGTCAACTTCAAAGTTGCCCGTAGCCGCTTAGGCCGAAACGTCGGTGGATACCCATCAACAAGCCCAGACGCTGAGTATCCATCCCATAGCAGAGTCGCACGACCCAGGGCGAACCCTGCCCACACACCGCAGGTGCCACACCCTAGGAACGCGACCAACGACGCCGCCAGCCGAGATGCCGGGGGAAACCCTAACCAAGGGGCCACGCCCACCAGGTCAATCGGGCTGGTCCCTACGCCACGGAATTCTAGAACCAGCGAATCATGTTCTGTTGGGACTGCGGTCGCCAGGACATACGTACTATCGAGTGCTGCCGGAACCAGACGCCGGGAAACGGCAAGGGCCTCGGGTATCACGGAGTCACCCGAGGAACCCAGCGAACTCCCGCAGCCGCAAACCTACTCCATCCAGCAGGATTGAAACCGTATCCGCGCACAGGTCACGGTTGAGGGGCGCCCTCTTCGGGGGCCTTGCACAGCTTTATAAGCGAACGCCTGGCAAAAGAACTCGACGGGGTAAGGAATCGCGCCCAGCGGACAAAAGTGAAGTTATCCGACGCATCCGGTAGGAAGCTCACACAGGCCCTGCGAACCACGATCACGTTGGGGGAACCTCGGGTCAGCGTCTCCGCTCTCACGTGCTGCTATGGCGGAGCCACACTGCGGTGTGGGGGCCTGACCCTCAAGCTCCAGCCACCTACTTCGGCTCGACTCGCGAGAACCAGTTCGCCGACACCGACACGAGACAGACACGCCGCCTCACAGGCGCACCCAGAAGATGCCCCACAGGTGCATACTCCAGCTACCTCACAGGCGCATACACCAGCCGCCTCACAGGCGCATTTAACAGCCGCCTCACAGGCGCATACACCAGCCGCCGCACAGGCGCATCCACCAGCCGCCTCACAGGCGCACCCAGAAGCCGCCTCACAGGCGCGTCCAGCAGCCGCCTCACAGGCGCATCCAGCAGCCACCTCACAGGCGCACACATCAGCCGCCTCACAGGCGCACCCAGAAGCCGCCGCATAGGCGCATCCACCAGCCGCCCAAAGGGCGTACCCAGAAGCCGCCGCAAAGGCGCATACACCAGCCACCTTACAGGCGCACCCAGAGCCACGGCCCGACTTACAACGAGAAGCCGACACACGGAGACATCGCAGGGCCACACATGTGCGTTCTTGTCGCGAGAGCGCCACAGGCAATATCAGCCACACAGGTACACGCAGCCACACAGGTCCACGCAGAGATAGAGAGATAGAGAGAGTTCTGAGTGCGGTCGCGTTTCAAATCAGTATCTGGACACGCCCCTGGACATCAGTTGCGACCAGCGACCAGAAGGCCGAGGAAGACACCTGGGAACAGCCCGGGAATCAATCCCCAACAGGTTTGGCGACCAGGCAGGGGCCGGTCGTAGGCGAGGGACGGGAGGCATCCCTGCCTCTTCTTATTTTCCACTCGTTGTTTGGTATAGTTGCTGCCATAATTTTCACACGCGCTTTTCTTTTTTAGTAAACATTAAATCAGTGGTGGAAAGCGCTTGCGCGACCAGCTGATTGTAGTGTGCGGAAAAGGCTGCGGAAAACCAAGCGGATAAGTGCGTGCTGTAGCACGCAGGAAAATTTCGGGAGGTTTTTTCTTTTCTTTAAAATAGTTAAGTCCGATCGAAGGCCAGCAGGATATTGCGGGTAGGAAAATCCTGGGCGGTTCCGTTTTTCCTCAAAATAGTAACGTCCGATTGAAGACAAGACACCCACGTACTGAATTCCCCAAGCGGAGGAATGGTGGGCAGGGGACCGGGGGCACAACTCCTGGGCGCCAGCCTAGGAGCTGTGCCAACCAATAACGGAGGCACGCCTGCAAACGAAGTACTGCAGGCGCCGGCTAGTAACGATGGCTTCCACACGTCATTGTCTTGTCTACCAGCCTGGGCCAACATGAAAGCTGACCCATTCAAAAAAAGCAGTGTAATGGCGAGATCGCCAGAACATAGGGTGGAGGGCAGTGGCAAGCAGCCTAGTACCCCCCAGAAGCAGGAAAAGACGGCCCAAAAGCTGATGAGGAGCAAGGGGATGCTGATAAAGCTGACTAATGGACGGAAAGCGGTCTATCACAAACCCAATGAGCGAGATAGTCGATGAAATTGACTACCTTCAGAGAGAAGTCCTATCGGTGGTACAAAGCATGATCGAAGAGCAGGGAAAAGGAGGCTGTGGATTAAACCTGTGTGTTGTGCTCGCGAGCGGCAAGAGACCGAGAGGGCAAGAAACCTCGAAAACGACAGCACTTCCAGCAAAAAACGCAATGCATAAGGCGCCGGCAAGCGAAGCCAACATAGGAGGAAATAAGGGGGAAACATGCTATGGCAAAGAGCACCAGCAATCCCCAAAAACCTGAGATGAAACCAGGAGAGTGGAAACAGGTGAAACAGAA